CTGATCTACAGACGTGATCTGTGACATTAGTTACACACACTATTACAACACCCCACCTTCTGCAGCACTGTCTGATCTACAGACGTGATCTGTGACATTAGTTACACACTATTACAACACCCCACCTTCTGCAGCACTGTCTGATCTACAGACGTGATCTGTGACATTAGTTACACACTATTACAACACCCCACCTTCTGCAGCACTGTCTGATCTACAGACGTGATCTGTGACATTAGTTACACACTATTACAACACCCCACCCCACCTTCTGCAGCAGCACTGTCTGATCTACAGACGTGATCTGTGACATTAGTTACACACTATTACAACACCCCACCTTCTGCAGCACTGTCTGATCTACAGACGTGATCTGTGACATTAGTTACACACTATTACAACACCCCACCTTCTGCAGCACTGTCTGATCTACAGACGTGATCTGTGACATTAGTTACACACTATTACAACACCCCACCTTCTGCAGCACTGTCTGATCTACAGACGTGATCTGTGACATTAGTTACACACTATTACAACACCCCACCTTCTGCAGCACTGTCTGATCTACAGACGTGATCTGTGACATTAGTTACACACTATTACAACACCCCACCTTCTGCAGCACTGTCTGATCTACAGACGTGATCTGTGACATTAGTTACACACTATTATAACACCCCACCTTCTGCAGCACTGTCTGATCAGCTGTTCTACGAGCGTGATCTATGGCATTAGTTCTCATGAAAGTGAAGGCCAATTCGTCAAGATTCTTGACGTCATGGACAATGTTTGTTGTCATAGAAACATGTAATAAACATCAGTTGTGATGTCATACAGCGTTCCGGAGAAGTGTGCCTGCGTCACAGACCGGCATACATATTATTCCTGTCAGATTTGACATTTATGTCACTGATACCGTGAAGCATTCTCGCCCTTATCTCGTCAAAGAATTATCACAGAATTACCAAGGATTGTTATCAATACAAGAGCCCCTTTGAGTATGTTTTGATCGTTGGTGGTGTAGAAAAATCATCTCACGGAAAATCAATATTATTGAGAAGAATGTTATCAATAATGACTATTCCACAGAGACTACACCACTTCACTACTGAGGAAATACCATCTAAAACATATCTTAGAATATACCGTGGACATAAACAGCATGCAACTGTACAAGGATGACAGTCCAAGCCAGGCATAGTTATCAGCAAAATATCGAGATATACAGTCACGTTATAGAGCAATGAAAGGCCGGATGTTTCCGTGCTCTACTGGGATCAGTTTCAGAACGGGCAGCGGTTTGTCCTCAGGATTCTCAAATGTTCCACGCTGTTTGACCAACCTGCTGCTGTTGTTTCGTATGTAACCAAGGCAGTGTTTGACCAACCTGCTGCTGTTGTTTCGTATGTAACCAAGGCAGTGTTTGACCAACCTGCTGCTGTTGTTTCGTATGTAACCAAGGCAGTGTTTGACCAACCTGCTGCTGTTGTTTCGTATGTAACCAAGGCAGTGTTTGACCAACCTGCTGCTGTTGTTTCGTATGTAACCAGGGCAGTGTTTGACCAACCTGCTTCTGTTGTTTCGTATGTAACGAAATATACATTATGTAGTTATACAATACACTGCTATACAATACACAACTATACAATAAAATGCTGTACAATACTCAGCGATACAATACACAGCTATGCACTTCACTGCTATACATTATGCTGCTGTACACAGCTATACAATTCAATGCTAGACGCTGGACGCTGTACACTACTCGGCAAGCAGGGAGCCTCTGCATCACGCACTGGATAATTGAATGTCCATATTCATGGAAAGACGGATGTGGCGTTGGCCTGTGTACATACATCAGAGCAAATTTCCATCGAAACAATCCCTAGTCCAGTTGTTGTTGACTTTCATCCAGGGTATGAACTTCGTTCATTGAGATGTATTGAATAGCCAGCTTTCATAACAAGTGATGATAAAAATAGATACGAAAGCATTTCACGGCAGGCACGAGATCATAAACAGATTGATTGTACAAGCTGGTGGTTGGTATAGGTGTGTTTGTACCACCATGCAACGTACCTCGAAGTACCCGGTACAGATGTAGATGAACCGCTATTCAAGGTACCTCGGAGTACTTGGTACAGGTGTGGTTGTACCACCTCGGAGTGCCTGGTATAGGTATGGTTGTACCGCCATTCAAGGTACCTCGAAGTACTTGGTACAGGTGTGGTTGTACCGCCATTCAAGGTAACTCGGAGTACCTGGTACAGGTGTGGTTGTACCACCTCGGAGTGCCTGGTATAGGTGTGGTTGTACCGCCATTCAAGGTACCTCGGAGTACCTGGTACAGGTGTGGTTGTACCATCATTCAAGGTACCTCGGTGTACCTGGTACAGGTATGGTTGTACCGCCTTTGAAGGTACGTCGAAGTACCTGGTACAGGTGTGGTTATACCGCCATTCACGGTATCTCGCAGTACCTGGTACAGGTGTGGTTATACCGCCATTCAAGGTGCCTCGAAGTACCAGGTACATGTGTGGTAACACAACCCAGCGCAGGTTTGTATCTGGGACACAGTAGTCAGTGAGTCATGTATATAACAAACACACTAGTCAGTGAGTCAAGTATATAACGAAAACACTAGTCAGTGAGCCATGTATATAACGAACACACTAGTCAGTGAGCCATGTACATAACGAACACACTAGTCAGTGAGCCATGTACATAACGAACACACTAGACAGTGAGCCATGTATATAACGAACACACTAGTCAATGAGTCATGTACATAACGAACACACTAGTCAGTGAGTCATGTACATAACGAACACACTAGTCAGTGAGTCATGTACATAACGAACACACTAGTCAGTGAGCCATGTACATAACGAACACACTAGTCAGTGAGCCATGTACATAACGAACACACTAGTCAGTGAGCCATGTACATAACGAACACACTAGTCAGTGAGTCATGTACATAACGAATACACTAGTCAGTGAACCATGTACATAACGAACACACTAGTCAGTGAGCCATGTACATAACGAACACACTGGTCAGTGAGCCATGTACATAACGAACACACTAGTCAGTGAGCCATGTACATAACGAACACACTAGTCAGTGAGCCATGTACATAACGAACACACTAGTCAGTGAGCCATGTACATAACGAACACACTAGTCAGTGAGTCATGTACATAACGAACACACTAGTCAGTGAGTCATGTACATAACGAACACACTAGTCAGTGAGTCATGTACATAACGAACACACTAGTCAGTGAGCCATGTACATAACGAACACACTAGTCAGTGAGCCATGTACATAACGAATACACTAGTCAGTGAGCCATGTATATAACAAACACACTAGTCAGTCAGTCATGTACATAACGAATACACTAGTCAGTGAACCATGTACATAACGAACACACTAGTCAATGAGTCATGTACATAACGAACACACTAGTCAGTGAGCCATGTACATAACGAACACACTAGTCAGTGAGCCATGTATATAACAAACACACTAGTTAGTGAGCCATGTACATAACCAACACACTAGTCAGTGAGCCATGTACATAACGAATACACTAGTCAGTGAGCCATGTATATAACAAACACACTAGTCAGTGAGCCATGTACATAACGAACACACTAGTCAGTGAGCCATGTACATAACGAACACACTAGTCAGTGAGCCATGTACATAACGAACACACTAGTCAGTGAGCCATGTACATAACGAACACACTAGTCAGTGAGTCATGTACATAACGAACACACTAGTCAGTGAGCCATGTACATAACGAACACACTAGTCAATGAGTCATGTACATAACGAACACACTAGTCAGTGAGTCATGTACATAACGAACACACTAATCAATAGGCCATGTATATAACAAACACACTAGTCAGTGAGTCATGTATATAACGAACACACTAGTCAGTGAGCCATGTACATAACGAACACACTAGTCAGTCAGCCATGTACATAACGAACACACTAGTCAGTGAGTCATGTACATAACGAACACATTAGTCAGTGAGTCATGTACATAACGAACACACTAGTCAGTGAGTCATGTACATAACGAACACACTAGTCAGTGAGCCATGTACATAACGAACACACTAGTCAGTGAGCCATGTACATAACGAACACACTAGTCAGTCAGCCATGTACATAACAAATACACTACTCAGTGAGCCATGTACATAACGAACACACTCATCAGTGAGCCATGTACATAACGAACACACTAGTCAGTCAGCCATGTATATAACGAACACACTAGTCAGTGAGCCATGTACATAACGAATACACTAGTCAGTGAGCCATGTATATAACAAACACACTAGTCAGTCAGTCATGTACATAACGAATACACTGGTCAGTGAGCCATGTACATAACAAACACACTAGTCAGTGAGTCATGTACATAACGAACACACTAGTCAGTGAGCCATGTACATAACGAACACACTAGTCAGTGAGCCCTGTACATAACGAACACACTAATCAATAGGCCATGTATATAACAAACACACTAGTCAATGAGTCATGTATAAAACGAACACACTAGTCAGAGAGCAGTATATAAAGAACACATATTTAACCGGACCGATTGTTTAATACGAAACTCGTGACCTTCCTATGGGTTAGGATACCATAGGAAGGACACTCGTTTCGTATAATGAGTATGTAATGAGACCTCGTGTAGTATTCTCTATCTATCTGTAGGTCCATCTCCACAACTACCCTTGATTGGACACCTATGGTACATGGAATTGTTTTTGTAGAATGTGTGGTGAGACGGGTACGTGCCTACCTCTCATGTAGTCTTACGAATCTTCAGAAACGTCCAAGCTGTGTCAGTCAAGCCAGTGCACCAGACACCACGCCTGTACTGCCTCCTAAAAAAACAACTGAATAGAAATACAAAACAAATTTACATTAAATAACACCGCCATGTTTGTGTTCCAGATATCATCCGAACAACTTCAAGTAGATGCATACATCGTTGTGTTCTCCATCACAGACCACGCCTCCTTTTGTGTAGCCAACTCTATTGTCAGATACTTGAGGGTGGACTTCGGGACAGACCGCGCAATAATCCTGGTTGCAAACAAAATAGATCTCGTACGGAAAAGGAAAGTATCGGCGGACGGTGAGTGAACTAAAACTACGTTCTACGTCACAATATATTGAGAAGACTAGCAGTACAATCAAAGACAAATAGATAACCTATCTTACTCATAAACACCAGACGTGTGCAACAGTTGCCTGTGAAGAGCAAGAGCAATATTATGACACCGTGTGACACACACAAGAAGGACTGACACTATGAAACACACGTGATGGCCTGACACTATGACACACACGTGATGGCCTGACACCTTGAGAAACACACGTGATGGACTGACACTATGACACACACGTGATGGACCGACACTATGACACACACGTGATGGCCTGACACCTTGAGAAACACACGTGATGGACTGACACTATGTGACTCACACGTGGTGGACTGATGCTATGTGACACACACGTGATGGACTGACACTATGACACACACGTGATGGACTGATGCTATGTGACACACGTGATGGACTGACACTATGTGAGACACACGTGGTGGACTGATGCTATGTGACACACACGTGGTGGACTGACACTATGTGACACACACGTGGTGGGCCGACAGTATGAGGCACACGTGATGGACTGGCACTATGTGACACACACGTGGTGGACTGATGCTATGTGACACACCTGATGGACTGACACTATGTGAGACACACGTGGTGGACTGATGCTATGTGACACACACGTGATTGACTGACGCTATGTGACACACACGTGGTGGACTGACACTATGTGACACACACGTGGTGGCCTGACACCATGTGACACACACGTGATGGACTGATGCTATGTGACTCACACGTTATGGACTGATGCTATATGACACACACGTGATGGACTGACACTATGTGAGACACACGTGATGGACTGACACTATGAGACACACACGTGATGGACTGACACTATGTCACTCACAGGTGGTGGACTGATGCTATGTGACACACACGTGATGGACTGAAACTTTGTGACACGCTTTTGATATACAGACTTCTGCTGAGTTTATAGTGTTTGAACAACAGCATTGCATCAAACAGGGCTCTAACCTAACATGTGGCGATACCACCCACCTACAGGGCTCTAACCTAACATGTGGCAATACCACCCACCTACAGGGCTCTAACCTAACATGTTGTTAATGCCAACCACCTACAGGGCTCTGACTTAGCGTGTAGCGATACCACCCACTTGCAGGGCTCTAACCTAACAGGTGGCAATACCACCCACCTACAGGGCTATAACCTAACATGTGGCAATACCACCCACCTACAGGGCTCGAACCTACCATGTGGCAATACCACCCACCTACAGGGCTCGGACCTAACATGTGGCAATACCACCCACCTACAGGGCTCTTACCTAACATGTGGCAATACCACCCACCCACAGGGCTCTAACTTAGCGTGTAGCGATACCACCCACTTGCAGGGCTATAACCTAACATGTGGCAATACCACCCACCTACAGTACTCTTACCTAACATGTGGTAATACCACCCACCTACAGGGCTCTATCTTAGCGTGTAGCGATACCACCCACTTGCAGGGCTCTAACCTAACATGTGGCAATACCACCCACCTACAGGGCTCTTACCTAACATGTGTAAATACCACCCACCTACAGAGCTCTAACTTTTCGTGTAGCGATACCACCCACTTACAGGTCTCTAACCTAACATGTGGTAATGCCACCCACCTACAGGGCTCTAACTTAGCGTGTTGCGATACCACCCACTTGCAGGGCTCTAACCTAACATGTGGCAATACCACCCACCTACAGGGCTCTAACCTAACATGTGGTAATACCACCCACCTACAGGGCTCTAACTTAGCGTGTAGCGATACCACCCACTTCCAGGGCTCTAACCTAACATGTGGCAATACCACCCACCTACAGGGCTTTAACCTAACATGTGGCGATGCCACCCACCTACAGGGCTCTAACTTTTCGTGTAGCGATACCACCCACTTGCAGGGCTCTAACCTAACGTGTGGCGATACCACCCACCTATAGGACGTGACAAGGAGTAGATGAAGGTGACGAGGGGTCGATGACGTGACAAGAAATAGATGACAGTGAGAAGCGGTAGATGAAGGTGGCGAAGGGTAGATGACGGCGACGACGGGTAGAGGCTGGTGACGAATGGTAGATGACGGTGACGGGGAGTAGATGACGTGACAAGGAGTAGATGACGGTTACGACGGGTAGATGAAGGTGGCATGGCGGAGATGCCGGTGACGACGGGTACATGACGTTTTACGAAGGGTAGATGAATCGTAAATAACAAAAAGATATTATGTCGTGGGTATGCGAACTATTTTCCTATCTGTAAGTTCTGGTGATTCTTTCCAGAAGCCCGACTGTGTGCAGAGAGTTTCGACTGCAAATATGCGGAGACTTCAGCAGCACTGAACCATCACGTGGACGAGCTGTTAGTGGGAAGTCTCAGTCAAATCCGTCTCAAGTTGAACATCAGCACGGTGCTGACTCCCGTCGTCAAGGACAACAAAAAGAAAGAGAAGAAGAAGCATCACAGTTTTGCCCGGAGCATCCTTAACAAGCTGTTCCGGAGGACCGCCAAAAAGGCACAGTCATGTGACAATCTGTATGCATTATGATTGGCTTGTGTCGTCGTTGGTCTTAATTAATCTGCACCTTTGAGTAACCAATCTGATGGTGTCAGGGGAGTCGTCACGTCCATGCAGAGCAAGATTTCGTGTGACATTTCCAGGAGGGTACAATCAGCTGCCTACGAGGCTCACGCTTCTGTCCCACAGACTCCACAGCGGTAACGTAACCTGTAGAAGCGCGGGTTCTGTGGGACAGAAGGTCATGTAGGTACAGGACCCAACTTCCACAAATGTCTCTGGGAATAGAGAGGCTTTATACTGAGATGAACGGTTGAATGTGTATTCTATTTATGAGCAATAGTTTGGGTTTAGTTGATATTTAATGAAAATATATTCCACACTCTACAGATTGTGAGACTTGCGTTGGTAGGTTCCATGCAAAGAAGGAACAATGTTTATATGGCGTGCAAGAAGTTAGAGGTACGAGTATCAGGTTATCAGGTCTATGTAGACGATAGTTGATGATGTGGACATGCCTTCTTGCTCCTAATGCGTCTAACAGTACCATGGACAATGTCCGGAGTGCACAGAGCCACTGGTCAGTCGTGGGAAGAATGTTCTGGAACCTGACCCAGCCTGTGGAGGAGTACAGACAGAGAAAACCAGCTGCTTGGTTTAACGCACCACTACAGTCAGCCTGGGAGTGATTTCACTTACTGACAGGACGCCGGCTTCACGGTATATTTATCTTCCCTGATCCGAGCCGGGTTTCTCTTGGTACTGCTAATGGTCATTGAAGCATCTGTGAGGCGCTCGATGACGTCATGCTAACGTTGTACACCTGTCAACAGTTCAGTGGCGGCGGTATCTCGGAAACTGTTAAGCAGATAATTCCTGGAATGCCTTTGCCAAATATACGTTCATTGCAGTAACAGGACAACAAACATGAACAATGTGCAAGCTGGATCCCTCTGTCTGTAGTCCGACACGCCACAGTTTACCTCCGGAATCGTTACACCAAGCTGCCATAGCTTCCGGCCCTGACAGGACAGGTCGTGACCATGGCAACCAGGAAAGGCATTCTATTTAATTATTGCAAACTGTTTCAGTTTTGGAAGAAATATCAGTTATACATGAGAATGTTAGTATATTGAAGTCTTATAGTTTTGTTGATGGTGATTTCTGTATGTTTGCTGGCGGACGTTGGTGGACTGATGTACGCAATTTATAGTTAGGTTTAGTTTCCCTTACCTCTGAGGTGGAGCTAGTCGCGCCAGTGTGTTCCACATCTCCACACGAGAGCACCATGCTGGTTTGGGTTCAACATGGCGTTATCCCTGCAAGCAGGACGCGCCGGCTGCTGTACATACCCTCACGTCCGCCACTGCTCATGTGTTTACGCGCTGCACCTGCAAAACGCATTTTGTCAGTCAAACCCCAAATTAAACTAATCATTCAACCAATGTGGTGATGCAGCTCTCCAGCCAGGACCTGACAGAGGCCTGTCCATGAAGCGACATGTCCTGCATGATGCCTGTCTCTTCTACTGCAGTGTGTACAGCACACAGAGGCCAGCTGCGGGGGATGTATATCTAGCAACATATGGCCATACTGTCATCACTGTTGAAATATTTACTATATTTTTGTCTTCCATGATGATAAATACATCGTCATATTCATACAAGGTCGATATGTTCCTGATTCCATAAGATTTATGTGCAGGTATTTATGAGATGCTTTATATTTTGTGTGTGTAGGTGTTTTATGCTTATGGTGTGACAAAACATGATATCATGGCTGTTAACCGATGTAACAAAACATGTTGTCATGGCTGTTAACCGATGTAACAAAACATGTTGTCATGGCTGTTAACCGATGTAACAAAACATGTTGTCATGGCTGTTAACCGATGTAACAAAACATGTTGTCATGGCTGTTAACCGATGTAACAAAACATGATATCATGGCTGTTAACCGATGTAACAAAACATGTTGTCATGGCTGTTAACCGATGTAACAAAACATGATATCATGGCTGTTAACCGATGTAACAAAACATGTTGTCATGGCTGTTAACCGATGTAACAAAACATGTTGTCATGGCTGTTAACCGATGTAACAAAACATGATGTCATGGCTGTTAATTGATGTAACAAAACATGTTGTCATAGCTGTTAACCGATGTAGCAAAACATGTTGTCATGGCTGTTAACCGATGTAGCAAAACATGATGTCATGGCTGTTAATTGATGTAACAAAACATGTTGTCATAGCTGTTAACCGATGTAGCAAAACATGTTATCATGGCTGTTAACCGATGTAACAAAACATGTTGTCATGGCTGTTAATTGATGTAACAAAATATGTTGTCATGGCTGTTAACTGATAATACAAAACATGATGTCATGGCTGTTAACCGATGTAACAAAACATGTTGTCATGGCTGTTAACCAATGTAATAAAACATGTTGTCATGGCTGTTAACCGATGTAGCAAAACATGATGTCATGGCTGTTAATTGATGTAACAAAACATGTTGTCATAGCTGTTAACCGATGTAGCAAAACATGATATCATGGCTGTTAACCGATGTAACAAAACATGTTGTCATGGCTGTTAATTGATGTAACAAAATATGTTGTCATGGCTGTTAACTGATAATACAAAACATGATGTCTTGGCTGTTAACCGATGTAACAAAACATGTTGTCATGGCTGTTAACCAATGTAATAAAACATGTTGTCATGGCTGTTAACCGATGTAACAAAACATGATATCATGGCTGTTAACCGATGTAACAAAACATGTTGTCATGGCTGTTAACCGATGTAACAAGACATGTTGTCATGGCTGTTAACCAATGTAATAAAACATGTTGTCATGCCTGTTAACCGATGTAACAAAACAAGATGTCATGGCTGTTAATTGATGTAACAAAACATGTTATCATGGCTGTTAACCGATGTAACAAAACATGTTGTCATGGCTGTTAACCGATGTAGCAAAACATGTTGTCATAGCTGTTAACCGATGTAACAAAGCATGTTGTCATGGCTGTTAGCCGATGTAACAAAACATGTTGTCATGGCTGTTAACCGATGTAATTTTAACAAAACATGGTGGAATGGCTGTTAAGTGAGGTGCGGAGAGAACTTGATGCAAAGACTGAATGCACACCTATTGAAGACGCATTCACTTCACAGGTGTATTCCATCCAATGCAATAGTCAGTGTGCATCTACTATTGGTGTATTCAATGCAGAGGTGTTAGATGCAATATAGAATGCGCATCTACTATTGGTGTATTCAATGCAGAGGTGTTACATGCAATATAGAATGCGCATCTACTATTGGTGTATTCAATGCAGAGGTGTTAGATGCAATATAGAATGCGCATCTACTATTGGTGTATTCAATGCAGAGGGTGTTAGATGCAATATACAATGCGAATCTACTATTGGTGTATTCAATGCAAATGCGCATCTACTATTGGTGTATTCAATGCAGAGGGTGTTAGATGCAATATAGACTGCGCATCTACTATTGGTGTATTCAATGCAGAGGGTGTTAGATGCAATATAGAATGCGCATCTACTATTGGTGTATTCAATGCAGAGGGTGTTAGATGCAATATAGAATGCGCATCTACTATTGGTGTATTCAATGCAGAGGGTGTTAGATGCAATATAGAATGCGCATCTACTATTGGTGTATTCAATGCAGAGGGTGTTAGATGCAATATAGAATGCGCATCTACTATTGGTGTATTCAATGCAGAGGGTGTTAGATGCAATATAGAATGCGCATCTACTATTGGTGTATTCAATGCAGAGGTGTTAGATGCAATATAGAATGCGCATCTACTATTGGTGTATTCAATGCAGAGGTGTTAGATGCAATATAGAATGCGAATCTACTATTGGTGTATTCAATGCAGAGGTGTTACATGCAATATAGAATGCGTGTCTATTGTTGGTGTATTGCAGAGGGTGTTAGATGCAATATAGAAAGTGCGTCTATTGTTGGTGTATTGCAGAGGGTGTTAGATGCAATATAGAATGTGCGTCTATTGTTGGTGTATTGCAGAGGGTGTTAGATGCAATATAGAATGTGCGTCTATTGTTGGTGTATTGCAGAGGGTGTTAGATGCAATATAGAATGTGCGTCTATTGTTGGTGTATTGCAGAGGGTGTTAGATGCAATATAGAATGTGCGTCTATTGTTGGTGTATTGCAATGGGTGTTAGATGCAATATAGAATGTGCGTCTATTGTTGGTGTATTGCAGAGGGTGTTAGATGCAATATAGAATGCGCATCTACTATTGGTGTATTCAATGCAGAGGGTGTTAGATGCAATATAGAATGTGCGTCTATTGTTGGTGTATTGCAGAGGGTGTTAGATGCAATATAGAATGTGCGTCTATTGTTGGTGTATTGCAGAGGGTGTTAGATGCAATATAGAATGTGCGTCTATTGTTGGTGTATTGCAGAGGGTGTTAGATGCAATATAGACTGCGCATCTACTATTGGTGTATTCAATGCAGAGGTGTTAGGTGCAATATAGAATGCGCGTCTATTGGTGGTGTATTGCAGAGGGTGTTAGATGCAATATAGAATGTGCGTCTATTGTTGGTGTATTGCAGAGGGTGTTAGATGCAATATAGAATGCGCATCTATTATTGGTGTATTCAATGCAGAGGGTGTTAGATGCAATATAGAATGTGCGTCTATTGTTGGTGTATTGCAGAGGGTGTTAGATGCAATACAGAATGCGCATCTATTATTGGTGTATTCAATGCAGAGGGTGTTAGATGCAATATAGAATGTGCGTCTATTGTTGGTGTATTGCAGAGGGTGTTAGATGCAATATAGAATGTGCGTCTATTGTTGGTGTATTGCAGAGGGTGTTAGATGCAATATAGAATGTGCGTCTATTGTTGGTGTATTGCAAAGGGTGATAGTCGAAAGGCCCATTTGTATGGTCAGTGGAGAGGAGTTTCATTCACAGCACACCAATTGGATCGTTTCGGGAACGCATCCACGGGGACCTTCAGTGTGAAATATGTATTTTTACAGATACATCATATACATGTTATTTTTGAGATATATTGTGAACGTTTAATATCTACCTATATATGCCTTAGATTTGACAGTGATGCATACAATATGTTTTTTACTGTATATTATTCGTACTTCCAAAACAAAAATATCGGATATGATAATTTATGCAAAATGCCAGGGGTTCTTTAAGTATGCAAATATTTGGATGCAAAACACGTGCCCCGTTTTTCTTACAGTCATAGCACAAAATACCTGAGTCAGTTTCAGAGCAGTTATATAACGTATCTGTGTCTCCTTTAGCCACACAAAACTTGTTTAAATTACGTTGTCAATTACACCTGAGTCAGTTTCAGAGCAGTTATATCACGTACCTTTGTCTCCTTTTACGACATCAAACATGTTTAAATTACGTTGATTTGTTTTCCGTGTTTCCGTGTACGTTATTTTGAATGAATTGAATTTCAGATTGTTTACACATATCCATGTAATAATCTTATTTAGATATATACATAACTGTACATATTTTTTATAATAAAACAGCTGGTTTTATTGCGTGGTGATTTTTGTCTGTTGAGGAGATGAACACAGACTAGAAAACATGTTGAATGTGTGCTTCCTTTGGCTCACAAGACTCCTGGGAGACACTGATACATTCACAGAAAACATGTTGAATGTGTGCTTCCTTTGGCTCACAGGACTCCTGGGAGACACTGATACATTCACAGAAAACAACCGGAATGTGTGCTTCCTTTGGCTCACAGGACTCCTGGGAGACACTGATACATTCACAGAAAACATGCTGAATGTGTGCTTCCTTTGGCTCACAGGACTCTTGGGAGACACTGATACATTCACAGAAAACAACCGGAATGTGTGCTTCCTTTGGCTCACAGGACTCCTGGGAGACACTGATACATTCACAGAAAACATGCTGAATGTGTGCTTCCTTTGGCTCACAGGACTCCTGGGAGACACTGATACATTCACAGAAAACATGCTGAATGTGTGCTTCCTTTGGCTCACAGGACTCCTGGGAGACACTGATACATTCACAGAAAACATGCTGAATGTGTGCTTCCTTTGGCTCACAGGACTCCTGGGAGACACTGATACATTCACAGAAAACATGCTGAATGTGTGCTTCCTTTGGCTCACAGGACTCCTGGGAGACACTGATACATTCACAGAAAACATGTTGAATGTGTGCTTCATTTGGCTCACAGGACTCCTGGGAGACACTGATACATTCACAGAAAACAACCGGAATGTGTGCTTCCTTTGGCTCACAGGACTCCTGGGAGACACTGATACATTCACAGAAAACATGCTGAATGTGTGCTTCCTTTGGCTCACAGGACTCTTGGGAGACACTGATACATTCACAGAAAACAACCGGAATGTGTGCTTCCTTTGGCTCACAGGACTCCTGGGAGACACTGATACATTCACAGAAAACATGCTGAATGTGTGCTTCCTTTGGCTCACAGGACTCCTGGGAGACACTGATACATTCACAGAAAACATGCTGAATGTGTGCTTCCTTTGGCTCACAGGACTCCTGGGAGACACTGATACATTCACAGAAAACATGCTGAATGTGTGCTTCCTTTGGCTCACAGGACTCCTGGGAGACACTGATACATTCACAGAAAACATGCTGAATATGTGCTTCCTTTGGCTCACAGGACAACACATTGTGCAGGGTGGCTGTGTCGGGTGGGTGTGAAGGGTCGATGAACACTATGGGTTTGCATGATGGTGTGAAGGGTGGTAGAGCAAGGTGGGTGTGACGGGTGGGTGTATCGTGTGGGTGTGAAGGATGGCAGAGTAGGGTGGGTGTGTCAGTTCGGTGTGAAGGATGGTAGTGCAGGGTGGGTGTGTCAGGTGGGTGTGAAGGATGGTAGTGCAGAGCGGGTGTGAAGGATGGTAGTGCAGGCATGTGTATCGGGTGAGGGTGAAGAATGGTAGAGTATGGTAGGTGTATCGGGTGAGGGTGAAGAATGGTAGAGTATGGTAGGTGTGTCGGGTGGGTGTGAAGACTGGTAGAGCAGGGTGGGTGTTTTGGAATCGGTGTGAACGTTGGTTGTGCAAGGTGGATGTGATGGATGGTAGAGCAGGGTTTGTGTGTCGGGTGAGTGCGAAGGATGGTTGTGCAGGATGGATGTGTCGGGTGGGTGTGAAAGTAGGGCAGGATGTGATGTTAGAGCAGGCTGAGGATGCCAGGTGGGTGTGAATGATGGTAGTGCAGGGTGGCTTTGTCAGGTGGGTGTGAAGGATGGTAGTGCAGGTTGGCTCTGTCGGGTAGGTGTGAAGGATAGTAGTGCAGGGTGGGTGTGTCAGGTGGGTGTGAAGGATGACAGTGCAGGTTGGCTGTGTCGGTTGGGTGTGAAGGATGGTAGCGCAGGGTGAGTATGTCGGGTGAGTGTGAAGGATGGTAGTGCTGTATGAGTGTTTCGTGTGGGTGCGAAGGATCTATGGTAGTGCAGGGTGGGTGTGTCGGGTGGCTGTATCGGGCTCGTGGGAAGGGGGTAGAGTAGGATTTGTGCATCAAGTTGTTGTGGATAGTGGGTGTGCATAGAGGCCTTGTGGGGCATACATACAGGTAACACCCTGTTATATGGCCGTGGGTGCTATACATAAAGGTAACACCCTGATATATGGCCGTGTATGGTATACATACAGGTTACACCTCGATATATAGCCATCTGGGGTATACATACATGTAACACCCTGATATATGGCCATGTGTGGTATACATACAGGTAACACCCAGATATATGGCCAGGTGTTGTATACATACATGTAACACCTTGATATATAGTCATGTGTGGTATACATACAGGTAACACCCTGATATATGGCCCTATGTGGTATACATACAGGTAACACCTTGATATATGGTCATATGTGGTATACATAAAGATAACACCTTGATATATTGTCATGTGTGGTATACATAGTGATAACACAATGATATATGGTCATATGTGGTATACATACATGTAACACACTGATATATGGTCATGTGTGGTATACATACAGGTAACACCTTGATATATGGCCGTGTGTGGTATACATACAGGTAACACCCTGACATATGGTCATGTGTTGTATACATACAGGTAACACCCTGATATATTGCCATGTATGGTATACATACAGGTAACACCTTGATATATGGTCATGTGTGGAATACATACAAGTAACACCCTGATATATGGCCGTGTGTGGTATCCATATAGGTAACACCTTGATATATGGTCATGTGTGGTATACATAGAGGTAACACCCTGATGACTGACCGTGTGTGGTATTCATAAAGGTAACATCCTCACATATGGCAGTGTGTGGTATACATACAGATAACACCGTGATATATGGCCGCGTTTGGTATACATACAGGTAACACCTTGATATATGGCCATATGTGGTATACATACAGGTAACACCTTGATATATGGCCGTATATCGTATACATACAGGTAACACCCTGATATATGGTCATGTGTGGTATACATACAGGTAACACCCTGGTAAATTGCCGTGTATGGTATACATACAGGTAACTTCCAGATATATTGCCATGTGTGATATACATACAGGTAACACCCTGCCATATGGTAATGTGAGGTATACATACAAGTAACACCGTGATATATTGCCGTGTCTGGTTTACATACAGGTAACACCTTGATATATGGTCATGTGTGGAATACATACAGGTAACACCCTGACATATGGTCATGTGTGGTATACATACAGGTAACACCCTGATATATGGTAATGTGAGGTATACACACAAGAAACACCCTGATATATGGCCGTGTATGGTATACATACAGGTAACACCCTGATATGTGGCATTGACTGGTATGCATACAGATAACACATTGATATCTGGTCGTGTGTTGTATACATACAGGTAACACCCTGATATATGGTCATGTGTGGTATACATACAGGTAACACCCTGATATATGGTAATGTGAGTTATACATACAAGTAACACCGTGAGATATGGCCATGTTTGGTATACATACAGGTAACACCTTGATATATGGCCATATATCGTATACATACAGGTAACATCCTCATATATGGCAGTGTGTGGTATACATACAGATAACACCGTGATATATCGGCCGTGTTTGGTATACATACAGGTAACACCTTGATATATGGCCATATATCGTATACATACAGGTAACATCCTCATATATGGCAGTGTGTGGTATACATACAGGTAACACCTTGATATATGGCCGTATATCGTATACATACAGGTAACACCCTGACATATGGTCATGTGTGGTATACATACAGGTAACACCCTGATATATTGCTGTGTATGGTATACATGCAGGTAACACCTTGATATATGGTCTTCTGTGGTACACATACAGGTAACACCCTGATATATGGTCATGTGTGGTATACATACAGGTAACTTCCAGATATATTGCCGTGTGTGGTATACATACAGGTAACACCTTGATATATGGTCATGTGTGGAATACATAATGATAACACCCTGATATATTGCCGTGTGTGGTATCCATACAGGTAACACCTTGATATATGGTCATGTGTGGTATACATATAGATAACCGCCTGATGTCTGGCTGTGTGTGGTATACATAAAGGTAACACCCTGATATATGGCCATGTGTGGTATACATACAGATAACATCGTGATATATGGCCGTGTATGCTATACATACATCTAACACCATGACATATGGCCGTGTGTGGTGTTCATACAGGTAACATCCTGATATATGGCTGTGTGTGGTATACATAAAGGTAACACCTTGATATATTGCCGTGTGTGGTATACATACAGCTAACACCCTGATGTCTGGCCGTGTATGGTATACATACAGGTAACACCCTGATATATTGCTGTGTATGGTATACATGCAGGTAACACCTTGATATATGGTCTTCTGTGGTACACATACAGGTAACACCCTGACATACGGTAATGTGAGGTATACATAAAAGTAACACCCTGATATAATGCCGTGTATGGTATACATACAGGTAACACCTTGATATATGGTCATGTGTGGAATACATAAAGATAACACCCTGATATATTGCCGTGTGTGGTATCCATACAGGTAACACCTTGATATATGGTCATGTGTGGTATACATATAGATAACCGCCTGATGTCTGGCTGTGTGTGGTATACATAAAGGTAACACCCTGATATATGGCCATGTGTGGTATACATACAGAGAACATCGTGATATATGGCCGTGTATGCTATACATACATCTAACACCATGACATATGGCCGTGTGTGGTGTTCATACAGGTAACATCCTGATATATGGCTGTGTGTGGTATACATAAAGGTAACACCTTGATATATTGCCGTGTGTGGTATACATACAGCTAACACCCTGATGTCTGGCCGTGTATGGTATACATACAGGTAACACCCTGATATATGGCCGTATGTGGTATACATCTAGGTAACACCCTGATATATGGTCATATGTGGTATACATAGAGGTAACACCTTGACATATGGCCGTGTG